AGATTTTAATTATATAATTATAAAAAAATAAAATAAAAATCTAAAATTATGTTCACTGTGGTCAAAGAAACTTATGAAAACATATAAAAGTTAATTTTTGGAATAAAAATAAATTTCCTAATTATTTAATCATTAAAATCATCTAAAAATCAAAAAAATTAAAATATAATTAAAAAATCAGAAAAATTATTTCTAAGGGTCCTCCGACCTAGGTGAACCTCTCAAAATTTTCTTAAGAGTAGAGGAAGTATTTTGGTTAACTAAATGAATATCATTGAAAGCACCTATTTTGACTTAGAAATAAATATTAAAAATTAAATAAAATTCAGAAAAACACAAAATTCTCCTCTGATGTGAGGTTTAACCCATGAGCAAGGCAACAACAAAATCTCAAATCACTTAGGATTAAATTTATGAAATTATGAAGAAAAGAACCCTAGGGGTAAAATGGTAATTTTGAAATTTTGAACTCTAATCAAGATTTAGGTCAAATCAGAGGGGAATTAAGTAATAGTTGTGATCATTAATAATTTTAAGGTGATTGAAATCTAAGGTTAAAGAGGGTAGAAACAAATTTATACCATTGTTACAAAAGGGTAAAATCACAATTTCCTAAATTGTTATAGGTTGGAAATTGATTAAATTGAATGATTCTAATCTAAGGGACTTATGATAGGAAGACATTAACTCACTAATTGAAAGCCCCTAATTCATAATTAAGAGATGATTTGAACTTTAAATAAGGACTAAACTCCTTGCTACTTAATATTTTTAAATTTATTAATTTAGCCTTAATGGATTTAAGAGTTTGGTAGTGAACTAAGTTTGATCAAATATGACTTAATGAGGATTAGAAAAGTGAATGCAATCAATTATAAACATCTTTAAGACTTTATAGGTTCAAATATGATCTAAAGAGTAAGAGATATTTTATTAACTATGTTTATCCCTAAGGGTACCTATTCACATAGTTCTTAAATATAACTTCAAATGAATGGCTAGTTGCCCTACTCATGGGTTAACCCAACATTAAAGTTCACTGAACACAAGTTAAAACATTACAACTATACCCTAATTTATATAGGATTGATTAATCCAACAGGACAATAAGGTCAAATGAACTGGAAATGATTCGAGAGATTTCAAAGTTATTTAGGGTATTGCCCGGATATCTTTTAAGGCTTTGGATATTTCAAAGAACATTTGAACTTACTAATCTTTGTTGGAGAAAATCATCCTCAAGTCTAATAGGGATCCACCAAGATATGCTACGGGACCCATTAATTCACAAATTCAAATAAAATACCCTACTCTACTTATCTTACATTTGAACCTAATGCTCAAGGGTTTGAGTCTTGAATAAGGTATTCAAATCCTTGTGTGCAAATGGGAATATTTGTTTTTCCCACATATGGATCATCGATCTAGTATAAGCCAGAGGTCTTCGTGGCGATGATGATTACGATATTACTTATGTGTGTTGAACGAGGGATACGAAGCGAAATTTGGAAAAGTGCCTTCTACCACGAGGATCCTCATTAAGGAGGGAGGATAAGACCGATGCTACTATTCACCAACCATTGATAGGAATTGCCCCAAGTCTTCTTAGGTTGTTGACACCCTTAGTCTGATTAAAGTGATTAATTCATTGACTACAATATTTTACAGGACATATATAACACTACAAACTTAACAAAAATCCTTTTGTGACATGATTACTTTTGAATGTTAAGCAAATCTATTTTGCATAAAAACTAAAAGGAATGTTTTTTTATGAAATCTTATAGAGGTTCACGGACTAATCACTTGGATTGAGGTTAGGAGTTGCACTTCCTCGGATTGTCTGGTTGGCAGCTTTTGTCGGTTTTGGATAATAAAACACACAGTCTAGCTCCGAGCCCCCACCTTCACCGATGTCTCACACTTAGTCCCAATCTTCTATATGTGAGATCGGAATTTGTTTTAATTGCACGCATTTTTCTGATGACTTATTTCAGGTTTTCTTTGTATCAAATCCTATTTCCAACTCGTTTAAAAATTATTTATTTTATTATATCAAGTTTATGCTACTAACCCATGCAGTTGTCGCAAAAATGCTAGATACGCGTCCCATAATTTATTTAATGCACTTTTATTACTTTAATTTATAGAATTTTATTACCCATGCATGTTTTACTTTAACTGCAAAACAAAACAACAAAAAATAAACACTTTCGAAAACAATAATACACTTTTAAAACTCTGAACGCCCCATAATTTACTCCTTCTTGGTTCACGAGGATCTCTCGGATGAGGTAACCTATATATGCTAACGAGAATTCTCTGATCTAAACGAGTTTAATAGTTTGTTTGGGCTAAGTAAATTCAAGAGAAAATAGTGGTCCGGGACGACGAAACCATGAAATCTTAACAGGTGTGGCTCAACTTAAATTAAAATTCCCCCAAAACATTAAAAAAACAATGAAAAATGAAACCAAAAACATTATACATTAACACACATAAACCTTGATGTGTACTTCAACAAGAAGTATTGGAGCAAGTCGTGGCAAACGGAGAGCGACGATCTACAACAATAAAATAAGTCTACATCAGCTAAACCATTTTTTAGAGTTAAACAACAAGCCACAGGACTTCGAGGTAGTTTTTCTAGTGCTACATGAATCCTCACGTTATCATTAGGCCTTTGCACGACCATGTCGTGCAATCTAAGCCCTAACTTGCTTTAAGATTTCGAGATCATCGTCTGATACGATGTAAATTCTTTTATCTTTCAGACTATTTGCATAATCATATATTATGCAAGTATAAGTCCAATAATTAATAATTGACAGGATTGAAAAATAAAAGAATTTGTTTTGAAAACTCAAAGCCCAACAATAACATAGCTTTGGAAGTCACTGAGGTTTGTCTCTGTCCCGTGACGTCCCATAATCTTAACTTCTTTGATTCCAAAAATAACTGTTCTCACTTCATCCTTTTCCACTTGTTATTTCTTACGAACTACCTAGAAAATCTAAACTTTAAATATCTTGAAGACAAAACCCCTGATATTTTTGAGAGTTTTCTTAAGTGACTTCGATCATTTAGAATGTAATTAACTATAACTTTAGAACACAGGTAATATAAACCCTACATAATCTTTCTATATTAAATAAGAGAACCTGTTGGTCGTACACAAAGTTCACAAACCAAACGGATGTCATGTGTTTCTTTAGTTTATATGATTGAGCTCACTGTCAAGTAATATGTCTGTCTCTCGTGATGGTATATTGCTTGTAATGTCGTGTTTGATCGCTGAAACTATTAAAATGTATGAGACCTTATTAGTCTCATATTTTCATAATTAGAAAATTATTTTCCGACATCAAAATTATACATGTATTAAATCACAAAATTACTTTTCACTAGTTAAAAAAAAGGGATTGCCAGCAAGTTGTAAGAATCACGAGGAACATTATAGTTTGAGATTAAGCTAAATATCTCTTTATCCCTTATATAAGATCTAAGGTATCCCTTATATAAGATCTAAGGTTAAGTGACACCTTATTTTTTGAAAATTTTAGTAATGCTATTTTCCCTATGTTCTCATTCACCGTAAATTTTAAACTTTTGATATGATTGTTGATCACTCTTGTGCGATAACTAAACCCATCTGATTTCTAATAGCTACAGTCAAAGCATTGACAACATTCTTATCAGAGACATACAACATAATTGCTTATGTATAGGAAAGAATTGTTACTCACATCAATCAATATACTACTTTGCTTATAATGATTATCCTAAATCACATTGGAGTAAATTCATTTGGTTTAAAGCTCTAACATATAATTGCTTATGTTAGTTGCTTTAAAAATTCTTATTAATGATTTAAAAACAAAACGTTCTCTTTTTCTTAGAGGAATTAATGTCCCTTAGCTGCGTCATGTGCAGCTTAACTTGAGACTCACTCCCATTTATTTTTTGAGTGCCCTATTTCTTTTTCTATTCTTGAAGGAAGCATTCCCAGTAGAGCTTTCTTCCCTTCGAGTTACAATCTTTCACAAGTTCTAACTTGTGTTGATTCACTTAAATGCAAGGCCACAAGAAAATTGTACCTATTGGCAACTCACATCTCAACCTATTATATATGGTTTGAAATAAATTGCAAAATAAATATTTAAAGTGAATGTAATTTTCTTAACATTATTTTTGAAATGATTCACATTACCATTAGACAAAAAAAGTAAAAGGAAATTTAACAAAAGAGCTTATAGTTGTAATGAAAAATATGTATTTCACATAAGCCTTTATTTTAGGCCAAGCTTTAGATAGTATGCCCCTTATTTTCTTTTGGACTTGATAGTTGATATGATGGATTTTTATGATACTGTAACACTTTTTTATTTTAATGAAATTCTTGAGTTTGACCCTTATTACTCGAAATAATTAAATATTAAAAAAAAAAAATTGATTATGCAAAAACCAGATTAATAAGGAATCGGTGTTGAACAACTCCAACCGTCGGTGAAACCAAAAAACCATTCTCGATTGAAGAGAACTGGTCGTTTCTCGATTCTATCGCACCTCATTTTGAGGAAGAAGATGGTGGCACGGTGGGAAGCCAATGGATGAAAGCAAGGCTCTGCATCGGTAGTTTCCAATTGACTCGAAAGGTAGATGGTGGCACGGTGGGCCAAGAAGATGGTGGCACTATCCCGCTTTATGTTATCATGTTTTCTATTTGTGATTCCGGAAGTTAGGGTTTCGAGCAGCTGCAATGAACGTCTCTCCATACTGAAAAATATTGATGTATTTGTTGTGTGAGCCAAGAAATGGGAAGCCCTAACCTATAGCGAATGATGAAGAAGTATTACGTCCGGTGCGACAATTTTATTTTCGATGTAATAATCATGACGTTATGATTCAATGTGTTTAATCTTAAAAGTAATGGGCTGATTCGGGCCGGGTTGCATATTAAAAAAAAACGTGTGTTTTTTTTGTTGGTGGGATGGAAATTTAGAGGTGGCGGGATATGCTCTGCGTCCGGACTCCTATTTTTTCCGTAGGGTGGGGGTTGTGGGGAAGGGGAGAGAGAGCAAAGACTCCACGGTATCTTAGCCGGCAGCGATATGGAAGTGGCGGCGGTGATCGTCGGTGACGGCGTCCACTTCTCTAGGCATATCATGCGCAACCACTCCCATATCCCCGCTACCCTAACCGTCCTTGCGATCTCCCCATCATCCATACTCCCCGTCGACTCTTCCTCTTCACTGCGTGCTACCGTCCGATCGGACCCCTTCCGCCCTCCTGCCGCTGTTCCGCGAGCTCTCGTCCGCCGGATACGACGCATCCGCCGCCGCAGCTCCACCGAAGGTGGCGACGAGGACGGCTTCTTCGATGGTGGCGATGGCGACGACGGTCCGTTCGGCGGCGGAAATGGGGGTGGTAAGGGATGGGATTCTTGGCGGCCTGGGGGATCGGAGTGGGAAGACCCGGATCGGCGGCTGTGGTATTCTTTGTCGGAGGATCCCGCCTTCGATGTTATTTATGAGGTACTTTGCTGGATTGCGCTCTCTAATTGTGCTCATTTCGCTTTTAAGAAGATGAGCCAACTCCTAGCGGAAAGGTGGAAAGATTTGTCAATCAGATCGGTTTTGCCTTTCTGCTGAACTCGCAATCACTCAATTTGGTGCCGATTGCCCATCGATTTGTCTTTCTCATTCTAATCTTGTATAAATGCTCGCTCTGTACATAATTTTATATATCGCTTTCTTTCTTCTCTGGTCTATTGGATGATGTTAAACATATTAGGCGAGGTTTTAGTTGTATTACTGATGCATTCTATTGTTTTTTTTTTTCTTTTTACTTTTGTTTTTAAGTTTTTTAATGGAGCCACAGTCCGTTAATGGCTGTTTGGATGAATGTTTTGAAAAAAAATGCGTTTTTGGAACACAAAATAATTGGCATACATGTAATTTAAAATTTCGGTGCATTTACATACATAAACTCCAATTCCTATGTATTGACATATCTAAAGCTTAAATTTTGTTTTTTCTACATTTATACTTACCAAATTTTACATCACATACAAAATGCCACCATTTTAACTTCTAATAGTGTGATGCACTTTCTCTTGCATAGGTGAGGTGGTATGTATTTAAAAATTCAAGTTTAATTTCCTAAGAATTGAGTGATATGTGTATGTAAATCTTCCTAAAATATTAGGAGTGTTTTTGTTGGATGCAAATGAGATTCATTTGAAATGTTTGTTTATATTTGTTATGATATCTTTCAAATGCATATGAACTGGGGTGGCATTTTTGGCTGTAGCGGGCCGCGGGATAATTTGGGAATCATGAATAGGTGCAACATAAGATTTAGAAATTGTTTAATTTGGGAAAATTTCTCAATTCCATTAAAGTGTTCTTTGAATTTCTTTTGCTTCAAATCAAACCCTAACAAAAGGGAAATTGAGGAAAATGGAGTACCCTACTCATATTATTTTTGATCAAACAAACCCTAAGTTTGAATGTTTTGACTAATAGCATTGATTTCTTAAGTAGCTTCTGCTAATAGATAGGTCTTTGCATTTAGTAGTTTGTGGTTTCCAAAATTTTCATGGAGAGATTATTACTTGAGCTAAACAAACCCAGAACTCCTAGATGTGTGAAACAAGGCATTAATGTGTATTTGCTGTGAGCATAATAATAAACAACAAATACTCAGTAATTACACAGCAGAGCAGACCCAATTTTAAGTGCATAAAATACACCTAATAAGCGCACATTTGTATTAAGGAATTAGTGGTTGTGGGTGTCAAACCTTCCTTTATGTGTAGAGCCAATAATAGCAGGGCCGAGGAGTTTTGCTTTTGGTTCTCTGAGTTCTCTGAGCCTATATCTATTCCTGCTTGTACTCTTTCCAATAAATGCAAGGAGAACGGGAGCGGATTTGAAATTAGAGGATCTGGGGCAATTAGAATGATCATAAGCAAAAGTGGAGCAAGTTTTACAAGACACATATTTCAATTCATAATTAACAAAAAGAATCATGCATTAACGTTTAACATTCAGAATAATAATATCAGAAAGGATAGACTCAATATTGATTTGTTTGTCTTCAGAGGATTAAAAACCAAAAGTGCCCCTATTTTACTAGCAAATTTGTAGGTACCACTTGCAGACCAGCAACACAAAGAATGGTTAGGAAATTTCACCCAAATTAGGATTTCAAGTCTTCTTTAACTGAATGTAGTCATGAATCCACTTCTTAAAGATGAATGGTGGTCTACCATTAATAAACCATGGCCTTCCCATCAAAACCTTCACAAAATCTTCAACACAATAAAACTTGAAAAGAAATGAACTTTTTGTAAGAATTGTGATATCAACAATACCTCTAAGCTTCTAGATCTTACTAATAGACTCAAGAAGTGTATCATAGAAAAGACGTTTACCCAATGCATAGCCCGCTAGTCCTGACGCAGTTTGATGTGCGGATGATAGTATTTAGGTGTTATTGGTAGTATTGTGGTATATTTTACCAAAATAATACCGCATTACTACCTAATAACATCTAAATACTACCATCCTCACCTAATCCTGATATAGATCATCCAGATGTAATATTTTTTCCACTAGAGCAAAACTCCATCGCTTAGAACCTTCTTCAGTCTCTTGATCTAAAAATGAACTTTATCCTCTGCACATGGTATGTAAGAGAGATTAAAGTTAGAAGAATTGCGGATATTAGATGAAATAAGTCCTTTCCAGTCAAGGGAACGACGCAAGACAAGCTAAGACGCAAGACAAGCTAAGAATGAGAAGAGGAGGAAAGAGGAGATGTCTCGAAGAGATTTAGGTGCGAAGCCCCGAGCAAAACGAGAACCCCAGATGGCAGCAAGAAGGATGATCTACTAATACTGTTGCTGGTATAGTGCTTGGTATTTAGTTGCAAGTATTTAAAATTCATTATGAGAAAATATATACATCTCAAGTGTTTAGTGTTGTTTGGTTTACTGCTTGCATTTATACGAGGCCAGGCCAGTATTTGCAAGTTTGGGATTCCAGGGTGGGGTGGGGGAGGATGTGATGATGTATTAGGTGATTTTGAAATGAACTAAAAATAAATTAGAATGAATTTCAAATATGCTATTTGGTTAGTGAAAAAGATATAAAATAAAAGTAATTAATATATTGAAAAAATTAAGTTTAATTTCAGAAAAAAATATAGAAAAGAAAATGAAAAATTTAGAATTAATCCTTTAATTCATTGGGTAAATTTTGTCAAGTGTCAGTTGTCATTACCATTCCATTACCATTGCTCACAAGCCTCTGGCTACTGCCTGTCGCCCGTGCGCTTATTGCGTGTGGACACCGAAATACATCTTTCTGTTATATTTTTTTTTGTTTGAGTGGGGCCTACTCTAAAATTTTTGACACTCCTAATCAAAAATTGCAAGAAAAATGTAATAATTTTTCCTGCCGCCCACACCACCCCCGCCATCATATTTTACTTTGATTCCAAATCAAACAAAACAATTATAAGAAAAGGAAAAAAACATATATTTGTTTTACACTGAACATAGTCAAAATACATTATATTTCAATGATATGAATTCTTTTCTTATTGCAATCTCTTTTCAGCAAAAGAAAGAACTCCATCAAAAGTTATTTTGAACTTATTTTCCATTGAAATAAATCTCTTAAAATTTAGAATTTTGTGCATTTGAATTATACTAAAACGAATACGAACAAAAATCTCAAGTGTGTTAACTTTGTTTAATATATTATAATGGTCATTAGATTGTCCCATATTTGTGTTCAGTTACTAAATCTTCAATAGTATGTGTGTCGATATATATATATATATATATATATATATAGGCTAAATATAGTTACATTTGATCATACTAATTTTCCCTAGGTACGGAACCAATTTTATTTTTTAGAACAGACTAAACCCAAATATTTAAATAATTTTAAATATTATACAAACAAATATATCCAAAGTATTCTTTTAGAATTAATACAATAAAAAATATTCATATGATACAATAATCTCCAAAAATATTCAATAATTTTTAAACCTAAACTGAAACAAAATTATTTCATAATATTCTACACAAATTTTTCTTCTTAAAAGTAAAAGAATTGAAAGGAAAAATATTAGAGCAAGGGCTTATTTGGCTGGAGTAATATATACTGTTAAAAACTAATAAAATTTGTTAAATTTATTATTTGATTGAAAATTAGTTAACAAAAATTAAATTTGATTTTAAACGCCATAAATTTTTTTTTTTTTTTGAAGCTTCTACAAATATAATGGCACAGATTTTCATTCATTAAGATAAATCATCAATTATCTAAAAAAAATAGAAATTTCATTTCTATAACTTCCCAATGAGTCTCAAAATAGAGAAATATTTGCGTACGTAAGATGTGCATAGAGTTCCATACATATTAGGTTATTCGGAGGGTAGAAGTAGGTTACACTTAGGTTACAGGAAGAATTACAAGGGGTATAACATAAATGTAACCTAGTTGTACCCTCCGAATAACCTAATATGTACGCAACTCTGCGTGTGTATTACGTACGCAAATATCTCTCAAAATGACCTAGAATCACCATGCCATGCAGAACCAACATAAATAAATAACGACATAATTTATAAAATAATTTCAACAATAATAGTAAGAAACATGATAATGTGCAAGTTATCATAGCCCGTTGATCTTTCAACTAAGATATCTGAATTCAAATGTAAATGATAAGAACCTTTGAGCTTACTAACAGATTCCTAAACGGCCCTTTTAGAATCATTTTGGTTTTTTTTATTTTAATTTTAATTTTTTTCTTTTTAAAAATATATTTAGTTAATATAAATTTAATAAGTTTTTATACTTTTATTTGAGACATTTTCCACCATAATCTGAAGAAACAAAAGAAAAGAGTCTATAAACTAAATTAATTTATCCATAAATGATAATACAAAAGATATTTTAATATATCATTCAACTAACAGTAGCTTCCAGCAGGATTAAGCAGAGAAGAGTTATGAGTGTAGGGTGACTTGAAGCAATAACAATCCAAATATAGCCATTTTCTAGTGCATTTGATTTTAAGCACAAGTATTTCTGCAGTCACCAAATCAATTATAACTGGCATTCAAAAACTTCAGCAACTCATTACGATTAGTTTCTGCCTTTTTATCCTCTTTTGATTTCTCAAGCTTCAGTAAAATCTAGAGAAAGGGAAGGGAACAAAACTCAAGTGCTTGGAAAAATTGACAAAAGATCAATTCAAATGTAGGTAAAATTATCACCTTTTTACCAGAAACAGCGCTGCGATGAACACTATCATCATCCTTTTCACGCCCAAGGAACTGAAAAAATAAAACAGAAAAAATAAAATGAATTTAAATAAATCATATATACATATATACATATATAGATAAAAGAAATTTATGTTTTTAAAAAATGCAAGTAACCTTTGAAAGCTGAACAGGGCTGCTACGCCGCTCAGTCTGCTCCTGTATATATAGCTCTCAAAGGCACAACAACATCCAGCAAGCAAGTTCAAAGTCCATTTAGCCGCATACAGATACCAGCTCCAACGTCAAAGAGCCAACCGAACAAAAAACAAAAGGTAGAAATGTGAGGATACGAAACATGTTAGAAAAAGAGGCTTCAGGGTATTAAATAGTAATGAAGATTCACAACATTTTGCCATAACATGCAAATACGTAATGCTGAAAACTGAAACAAAGCGTTCTGCCTCAAAATAATTCCCTCTTAAATTCAATGCAAGAGAATGAAGGTAAATATCCATGAAGCAGCAACTCCTATTCTCCTAAGAAATATATATGATTATATGATATAATCACCTTTCGGTTTAAACCAAAAAAGCTTAATTTAGAATCTCTCAAATTAATGCCTTCAATACAAGCTCCTGAATACAGAAGATAACAAATTAAAATCCTCTTCGATGAACTAAGCCTTCCAAACCTCTTTCAAGTCCTAGAAATAAGGAGGGCCAAACTACCTAAATTTAAACTTAACCTCAACCCTATGGATTAGTTTCATCATATTTTATAACACATGTTTAAGCACATCAAGTTGATAAGATTGTAATTCAGCTTTAAGTAAAGCTTAAAAGGCCTAGATACCATAGAATGCTATGGAATCAAAACTTCCTTTCGGTGTTCGAATCAGATATGACGATAGTGCTTGTCTCGCAACCATAAATCCTATTAGCATCTACTTGATATGAAATTCCTCTTGCTGGCTTAGATTGCCTAATTCTCCTTTCAAAGAACAATTTTTTTAAGCAAGAGTAAACCAATGGTTGGGTTAAAATTGGGTCGAAGAGAAAGTAGGGATAATAAATAGATGAAAGGGATTGGATTTTTAAATAATAACTTACTTTCAATCACTATCCATGAAACAAAAATTAGAATGTGAATCTAGAACTCAATTTCAATCACTTTCAAAGAAACAAATTAGTCCTAAATGGCTTGGCCAACCACAAGTTGGAAACATTCCACTGAGAGGGTAAAGGAAATCTAGGATGCTGTTGCCAACAAGACCAATTCAAGAGAAGATCGATGAATTAGTATGTTCAAGTCAACAAACTAAAATAGTTGATATTTCATGTGCTCCCACCAACTGAGAAGGTAGCAATTTCGCCTATCAGAAAGAGCAAAAATATAACCGTCTCAAACCGGCCGCACAATCCCTATTGGCAGACTAGTTCACATTTAGTGGTTTGTCAATCCCCAAAGAATAAAATCTAAAAACATCAGTTAAAACAAATAATATTGTGCAACTACATAAAGGCACATTGCAATCGAAAATGCAATCACACACATCTACTAACGGCCAATATTTCACTACAATCTTCACTGAGCAAGATAGTGTGTGTGTGCGCGTGCATGTCATGCATTAAGTTAAAAAAGAAATAAAAAATACATAGGCCTCGCTTGGGATCACTTTTATTTTTTGTTTTCTATTTTTATTTTTATTTTTTAGTTTCTATTTTGAATTGAATTAAAACATGTTTGGTTGTGATAGTTTTTTTTTAAATGCTCAAAACATCTTTCAAGTGTTTTGAGTTTTTTTAAAAACTAGGTGATTTGTTTTTAAAAATAAAAATTATACTAACCAAACATGTTTTCAAAACAAATGTAACAAAAAAACAAAAAAAAAAAAAAAACCAAAACAAAAGTGATGCCTTAATAACAAGATAATAACATAAAATGAATGAAAATCAACTATCAGTAAACTAAGGGTGCATTTGGGATAGTTTATTTGTTGTGGCGTGGCACAAAAATGCATATTAGTGAGTTGGTTTCCATGGGAGTGGGTGCGTTTATTTAAATGCACCCGAGGTTATGTGACGTCGTCCACAACCTGCTTTGGGCATTTTCGTTACTTTGCTATTATCTGGCTATCCGACAACGCATATCTATTTGAGTGACCCTCCTTCGGCTAGCTGCCTAGAGTTTTTTTTTCTTTGCTTTCCATCGTCCTCTGATACATGTGGCGAGCGATTGATGACGTTTTCTTCATTTGCTTTCTTTTGTTCTCTGATACCTTCTATCATTTAACTCTAAAAGCGTTTCACTATGTTTTGTCTAGGTGGATTTGTCTAGGTGGATTTGTTCTTTGCAATTTGTTGTTTGCGCAGACACCCAATTGCTTAGAATTTGTTTTTCTGTGAAATTATTCGGACAATTTAGTTTGGGTTGCTCATTCTGGTTTTTTTTCTATCTCGGTTGGGTTGCTCTTTGTGGTTTGTTTTCTATCTCGGTTGGGTTGCCTTGTATATGCTCATTGAATTTTGGTGAATACCTATATGAAATGTTATTTCATAAATGGGGGAACCTAATTTATGTGTTTGATAAATCTATTTTGGTGGGGTTGCTCTTTTTGGTTTGCGGCCTGTCTATACTCAATGAATTTTGGGGTTGTTCTTTGTGATTTGTAGTTCCTTTGAGGGCCTTCAATATGAACCTACGCGCAAAATTTTTTGGTGAAGAGAGGAGCCTCAATTTTTCCTATGAAATTGTTTGATTAATTTTTTCCTTGTTAAAAAAGAGTGAGACGTGTAGCCTGATTTTACTAGGATTAAGTAATTGGACTTATCTCTGAATTGCTAAAAAGAACTCATCGATCTTTTTTATGAAGTCATCAGCTTGACAAGTAGTTCTTGAGTTTGGACAAACATGCGTAATCTTGGATAAATAGGCTTGAGCTTTAGTAAATATTCTCTTAGATTTTGAGAAGTTTATCATGGGTTCAAGATTTTGACAAGTTTTGGTGAGTTCATTTCAATCTTTTTGAATTTCTTCTGTGTATTCATGTTGATCAAGATGAGCCTGCGCCATTGAAATTTTGAAATTTTTGGATAAACACATTTATTAAATTATTTGATTTCTTTCTCATTTTCATGAGTTTCCAAGCGGGATCTATGCGGTTGAATTGAAGTGCAAACTAAAACATCATTGATGAAGAAAATGCTAAAATTGGTGAACAAATGGTTGTTTGTTTGCTCATGGATAACTTGGTAGGAGTCATTCTACTTCTCTTTTCAGATTCATTTGTGGTTATAAAAAAGGGTGAATTATGCACATGCCATCAAATTCATGCATATTTACAAATCTAGTAAATAATGAATAAATGAATCTATGTATATGCTTATATGGCACATGGTTTTTGAAAACATAAGTTCAAGCTGATTCGCTAAATGTATCTATTATTCAATGGTGAGACACTTCTAATCAACAAGTTATGAGAATATTATAAGAAACTCCAAAAATTTATGAAGTCATGTCGTTTTAAATGTTTTCAATAAAGTTGTTAGAAGATCCGACTAGGAGAAAATATTTTATGTCGATGAGCGTAAGATCAATTATTTACATTACTTTTATGAGATTTGGGATGTATGACACTTATGTTATTTTTGAACTTCTATGTTTGAATGATATGGGTGTACCGCATATTATTTTTGATATATCAATGCTACAATTTTTCATTATTTTTGGGCTTTTTATTTTTATGGTTTGTGTTTAATATATTACTTGTTAATTCAATGTTATTTATAAGTATTAGATACATCAACAATGAATAGCATTGATAGAAAAAAAGTGAAAAAAAAAAATTACAATTGTATTATGTTTAATGTAAGAGTATAACAACTCATATATTGCTCGCACTCCTTTCATGATATCTACGTACAATAGTGACAAATGAGTTGAGCAGTTATTTGTGGATCATCCAACAAGAGTCGAGCCATATTTATTAATCTATTAGAAGATTTGCACAAAAATCGTGGACTTCATGACTCCTCTAGGATGACTTCAAGAGAGGTGTTAGCTATAACCCTCATCAGAAATAATTAGTTGATGTTTTTCAGTTGGTTTTAATGCTCTGATTAGCTTATCTTTAAAAGTTATCAAACCGGAAGACCCAACATTCCAAAGCACACTTAGAGAGATTTCACAAGAACAAAGCTATATGTCACATATTAGCTATAACCCTCATCAGAAATAATTAGTTGATATTTTTCAGTTGGTTTGAATGCTCTGATTAACTTATCTTTAAAAGTTATCAAACCAGAAGACCCAACATTCCAAAACACCCTTATAGACATTTCACAAGATCAAAGCTATATGTGACATATTAGGATAGATTTTTGTGTTCATCTTTTTCAAAATTTACTTAAACACAGTAACTATAATATCTTACATAAATGACTTAGAATTCTATTAAAGCAATTGATGGAACACATGTGGATGCACTCATATCAAACTGTGAAAAGATTGCATACATTGGACGTTTTAGTTCACCAACATAAAATGTTATGATTTTATGTGATTTCGATATTTGTTTCGCTTTTGTAATGAACAAATGGGAGGTCAACGCACATGATAGTTAAATATTTGAATTTATTACGCGAACTCCGGCCTCCTGGTTTGTTTAAATATGAATAAAATAAATAATTTCTTCAATACAATACTAATGATTATACTTATAACAAAGAAATATTATTTAGTTGATGTTGAAGATCTATTACAAAAAGGGTGTCTCAAACTCTTTCATGATACAAAATATCACATTCCTGATTTTGAAAGAGTTAACAGTAAAGTTCGTGGCATAAATGAGATGTTTGATAAAAGACATTCATCTTTATGTGGTGTTATTGAGAAGAAATTTGGGTTTGAAAAGAAAACGGATTATTCTATGAGATATACTCACAATATCATTTGAATAAACAAGTGAATATTTTGGTAACCACAATAGCTCACGGCAATTACATTTGTCAGCAACATTCACGTATTGATATTTAATTTTAATAGTGCAAATGAAAATAAGACACAAGGCCCTACTGAAGCATACGAGTATAGCGCAGGACTAGGGGTGTAAACGAACCGAACACGAACGAACAGAACTCGTGTTTGTGTTTGATTTGTTTGAAATTAAGTGTGTTTGAAATATAGCTCGTTTGAAATTATTTGTGAAGTTACTGCTC